TACGATTTTTTCCTATCTGAGGTCAAAGGCCTTTGTCCGAGCTGAATGCCCTGATTTTTCGTCTATGTTGAGTTATGCTTTTAACACTTCATGTACGAAAGTGCCTGTATCTTCGACTTATTATAACTTCTGTTGTTTGATTGTGTCATTGGCTGTATACTTGTTATTAACTCACATTCGATGCCATATTACGATATATCTATTTATTTATATAACTGTGAGTTTTATTGCTCAAGTGGAAGTTAGAAAAGGCTTTCCAATCCATTCAAATAAGGGCTGGAATCTATTGCAAAAGTTTCTGTGATTAATGCTTCAAATGAAATCACTAAATGTATGACACTTGCCAAATTCAATGATGGTTATAAAATTATATTTATATATTCTGTCTATCTCTCTTTTTTTTCTTCTTTTTGTTTTTGTTGAGAATATTACCTGTTTACCTTCTTCTTAGCCGTGCATTGTCCTACAAACTAGTCTTATCCATCTTTGCAAGTTGATCTTGTAGCAGTTTGGTTAAAAGAATTCGTAGCTGTTAAAAGTAGGAGCCTAAAATTAACTCAATAATTAAGAAATTTTGACCAAATGAGTCGTATAAGTTATAACAAATAAACTTCAGCAAATTGAAGGAGACAATGGACAGGATATGTAAACATGAMCAATTTTGAAAGCATTGTGCTTGATCTAGTTGATTTTAGTGGCTGTATAACAGCATTATGTATATGCAGGTGGTGATTCCATCTCAATCAAACTTTAAAAATAACTTTTCCATTTTACACCAAGTACCAGAAGGTCATGTGGGGGTATATTGGAGAGGAGGTGCCCTTTTGAATACAATAACGGATCCAGGTACAAGTCTATCCTTTCTTTTTTTGGTTAWTCGGAACTTATGTCCTGGTACTTCTATTCATATTAAATTTTCAGGTTTCCACCTGAAGCTGCCTCTGTTAACCCAGTTCGTGCCTGTTCAAGTGACCCTCCAGACTGATCAAGTAAATTAGACTTGAAAAATTTTCAGCCAAATTTAGGATTTCAATATTTTTCAAGCTGTACTCATTTATGTCCATATGCAGGTAAGGGATATTCCCTGTGGTACTAAGGGGGGTGTAATGATCAACTTCGAGAAAATAGAGGTGCAATTACCAGGAAATTCCTTCGCAATAATTGATGTTAGAATTTCTTATTTTTCATCTTAGTTGATAAGGATGCTATTTTCAGGTTGTCAATCGTCTCCGCAAGGAATATGTGTATGACACTCTGGTCAACTATGGGGTGAATTATGATAACATATGGATATATGACAAGATTCATCATGAGATCAATCAGTTTTGTAGCTCTCACAGTCTTCAGCAAGTTTACATTGATGTGTTTGATCAGGTTTGTAAAAATAAACATGAAATGTATGCTTTTAAGCTGTGTTGTTATTGTTTCTATTTACAAGCAGCCTGCAGAGCTGATTAGAGCATTACGCCAAGCGTATAATCTAGCTATTAAAGTTTGTCCACTCCAAGTATTTTGGCAACTTACTGCCTCATTTGTAGAGAGTCATTTTTATCAAATGTGCTCTTTTTTCTTCAGCTGTGAATTCTTTCAAGGAATCCGTTTAAGGCTTTAAAGCTGATGTTTCCATGAAATTTCTCATAGATACTTTTCCGCTTGACATTAAGCATTTTTTAAGCATCAATGATCAGTTACTACTTTTCATGTTCAGATTGACGAAAAGATGAAAGATGCTCTCCAAGGTGACTGTACACGTTATGCTCCAGGTATTGAAATCGTCAGTGTGCGTGTAACAAAACCTACCATCCCAAATTCTATCAGAAAGAACTTTGAAGACATGGAAGTGGAACGCACAAAGGTGCATCTCTATCAAGGGAAAACTTTTTTATTGTTCTGTTTGAGTTTTATAAGGAGGTAAAAATCACAATGGCTGGAACTGAGAGTATATGTTGAAGACATACAGAAGCATCTTTGGACACTCATATTCTCTCATGTCATTTGAATTCAAAATCAAGTTTACACCTTTATTTTCAAAATATTTAGCGTGAATACATGTGCAAGTATACTTATATGTTCATATTTATATGAATAGGCATCAATAAAGATTACCGCTTGTCTTAATTCTAATGCTATGCAGTCTTGGACATACTTGGATAGGTTTTAATCGCCATAGAGAGACAAAGGGTAGTGGAGAAAGAAGCAGAGACCAATAAGAAAATGGCAATTAGTGAAGCCGAGAAGAATGCCAATGTTAGCAGGATCCTCATGGAACAGAAGTTGATGGAGAAGGAAAGTGCCAGGAGGCAGCAAGAAATTGACAACCAAATCTATCTTGCCCGTGAAAAAAGCCTTGCGGATGCCAATTATTACCGGTACTCATCTCCTTTCGCCTTTCCTATTCCTCACCTCCACTTTTCGAAGTGAGAAATGAATGTGGTTGCATAGAGCCTGAATGAGTAATGACATTCATTTCTTTTCAGTGTACTAAAAGAAGCTGAGGCAAACAAGCTGAAGCTTACACCCCAGTTTCTTGAGCTTAAATTTATCGAGGCCATTGCTGATAATACAAAGATTTTCTTTGGGGATAAGGCACGTACTCTCTTTTTGCTTATGGTACATGACATACGCATTATCTGTCTATAGCTTAACTCATTAGCTTTGGTTCTGCTAGGTTCCCAACATGGTTTTGGATCAGAGGCTGCTGGGAAACTTCCTGCATGAGGTATCAGAAGGAGTATCAAGAAAAGCATCTGGAGAGGAAACCTTTGAAATGTAGATCCAAGATACATCTTCTAATGTCAAGGTATACTGGTCTCTCTCTCTCACAACATTCTTTTTTCTAGTTCAAGGACTAAAATAGGTATTTTGAAACTTCATGGACCAAAATGAAATTTAAACATAAAAATTAACATTTTCTTTTTATATCCGTAAGGTAGGTGGCCATCATGGGGTTTGAATCCATTCCCTCTTAATTACCTTAGCCCCTTTGGACTAATRAACCATTCATGATGGTTACACAAAAATTAACATTAGATGGAGGTGAAACAACATTTTAGCTGGGATATTTCTCTTTATGGTCTACATATAGGAAGAATTCTTCACAAAGCAAGAATAAGTTTTTTCTTTAATTTTCTCAAGTTCAGCTTATGTTTACTTTATAGAATATATGGAGGAAAATTTTGGTATTTTAATATTCTTTGCATTAGTCTCCAAAGAGGCAACCTGGTTGGCAAGGACTTGGGATCTCTKGGTCATATTGGCTTAAAGGTCTCAAATTCGAACCTCCCAATAAACTTAATACCAAATACCCTTAATTTCTCCTGCATCCGGATCTTGGAACGTGCACAGTTGCTTCTGGGTATAGGAGAGCAAAGCTCCAACTCCTAGTTATCATATATATACACATTTGCATCAAATTCATTTCTTCATGAGAATCACTTAAAAGAGTTTAGAGTTCATCTCGAGCTTTATCCCGGGGAAGGTTCAGAATAAATAACCCCATGTACCTTGATGTTCTCTAATGCAGAATGCAGATGGTTGATTGTGATCTCCGTATCATGTTCTACCAGATAAGTCAAATGAGAAGCAAGTTTCATGACGTCATATATTGGAATCTCCATTTTTGTAGTTTAACAAGGAATTTTGATTCACAAATTTTGAGTATGTTGCTTAGAAACGTGAATTGATGGTTCTTTTGAATAAAATAATTTCAATAGAGTTAGAATAAAAACAATTACTTCAGTTTAACRATGATGGGGAATGAACAATTGAATCATCTATAGAATTAATTATTTTGTTTGATTCAATTATGGAGTGCTTCTCTTCCTGGTAATTATACTTTTTGACAATTCAAAACCTTACACCATGTTACAAAGATTATGCTGCAATGAACTTGCAAACACGCTAGAAATTCAAGTACAACAACTTTATTTAGTTTAGTTTATTGTTTATTCTTTTGCTTTATTTTGTTCTTGCATTACTGTTGTATATATTTCAGGCACGAATACTCACGCATCTGAAAATAATACGAAGTCTTGTACCATGTTTCTTAGCTCTCTTATGCTGTTGGGATATTTTTTACACAAAGACATTTGTTACCATAATTTCATTCTTCCTTTTTCATCTCACACGATAAATCGATAATTGAAAGAAACGAACAGAAATATAAGATATTTATGAACCTGATAGTTTACATATAACTAAGAAAAGCAAAAAGGAAAAGAGAAAACTTATAAGGACTCGTTTGATAATGTTGTTGTTTCTCATTTTTAGTATTTAAGAAACATAAGCGTCCGGTAACGGTTTCTATTTTACGTTTCTCATTTTTATGAAATGTTTCCAAAATTTCAATCAAATCAAATTTTTTGTCTCTAGTTCCCGTTTTCAACTTTTTTCAAAATAACATAAATAAATACATGATTTTTTCATTTTTCACTTATAAAGTGTTGCAACAAATATTAAAAAAAGTGAATATTGTTCCATTCTAAAATCTATCAATAATTATAAAATAAAATAAAAAAAAATCTAACACAATATCTAGTTTTGAACCTGAGTGTAGTTAGAATCCCCGCGCCACTTATTATTAACTTTTGGATTTTAATATCAAGTTGAATACGCTCGAACGGTTGAKWTTCTCCATTTAGATTGCAAGTTATAAAAGTTTAATTAAAAGTTACATAATCTACTGTCAATAATTCGGGGATGTAGCTCAAATGGTAGAGCGCTCGCTTTGCATGCGAGAGGTACAGGGTTCGATCCCCTGCATCTCCATTTTTCTCTTTTTTTGTTTCCCCCAAAATCATGTTTCCCTTCATAGTTCATAGTTTAAATTCGAGCTTCTTGATTCCATTCCCTTGAAAATGGCAGTCGTTAGATATCGACGCATTATCATCGATAAGTTCTCTTTAACCTTCATCTTTCACCAACGTTTCAGTTCCTTCACTTCGAATTCCACCGCCCACCCCACGGCGGCGCCGGCGGCAATCAACCCGGCTCGCCTCCGCCGCGTCTGTACCGTTCTCTATCAGCAACAGAACTCCCCCGATCCCAGGCTCCATTCCAAACTTCGCGCCTGTAATTTCAACCTCTCCCACGAGTTCTTCCTCCGGGTCTGCAACACCTTCCCTCTCTCATGGCGTCCGGTTTACCGCTTCTTCCAGTTCACCGAAACCGACCCCAATTTCACCCACACGGCGGTCTCTTTCAATAAGATGATTGACGTCGCCGGAAACTCCCGGAATATCGGTCTCTTATGGGTCTTGATTCAGGAGGCGGGGCGGCGGCGTTTGGTGACTGATAAGACCTTCGTCATCGCTCTGAGAACACTGGCGGCGGCCAGAGAATTGAAGAAGTGTGTGGAGTTTTTCCATTTGATGGATGGATATGGGTTTGGTTATAGCTTAGTGACTCTGAACAAAGTAGTGGAGAAATTGTGTAGTTGTAAACTTGTGGATGAGGCTAAGTTTCTGGTTTTCAAATTGAAGGAATGGATAAAGCCAGATGGGGTTACTTATAAGTGGTTGATTAAGGGGTTTTGTGAAGTGGGGGATTTGATTGAGGCCTCAAAGTTGTGGAACTTCATGGTGGATGAAGGGTTTGAACCAGACATGGAAGCTGTGGAGGAGATGATGAATGCTCTCTTCAAGACCAACAAACCTGATGAAGCTTTGAAGCTTTTTCAGGCAGTGAGATCAAACAGGATGAATGATCTGATTCCTTCAACTTATAGTCTTGTGAACAAATGGTTATGTAACAAAGGCAAGGTGAGGCAAGCATATGTGGTGTTTGACGAAATGCATAAGAGAGGCCTTGAAACTGATAATTCAGCACATTCCTCACTGATTTATGGGCTTTTGGCAAGAGGGAGGAGGAGAGAGGGTTACAGGATCATGGAGAGGATAGAGAATCCTGATTTGGGTGTGTACCATGCTTTGATCAAGGGGCTTTTGAGGTTGAGGAGGGCAAATGAAGCCACCCAAGTTTTCAGGGAAATGATAGAAAGAGGGTGCGAGCCTATAATGCATACATATGTTATGTTGTTGCAGGGGCATTTAGGAAAGAGAGGGAGGAGGGGATTCGACCCACTTGTGAATTTTGATACCATTTTTGTTGGGGGTTTGGTGAAGAATGGGCAGTCATTGGAGGCCACAAAGTATGTGGAGAGGATGATGAAAAGAGGAGTTGAAGTGCCAAGGTTTGACTACAACAAGTTTTTGCATTACTACTCAAATGAGGAGGGAGTGGTGATGTTTAGAGAGGTGGGGAATAGGTTGAGAGAAGCTGGGTTGGTTGATTTGGCTGATATATTTCAGAGGTATGGGGAGAAAATGGCCACTAGAGATAGGAGGAGAAATCGGGCAACAGTGTCATCTGTGATATGAAATGCATGCCCTTTTGGATTATGGATCATTTCATGACTTCGAGCAACATATCGTTGTATCGAGTTTGAAATCATTGATGGTCAGAAGAAATAGATAAGACCTCATGTAGAGTTCGAATGAGCCAGAGTATCCATAAGATTGTGAGTTCTAAAGGTGATTTTCGTACACTTCCTCATTATTTGGGAGATCACAATTGCTTATTTAAAATACATTGGTCTGATGTTCTGTGTTTTGTTTGTTTCGTTGTTTACCTTCCTCTAGGCTCTAGCCACTGGGACCGGCCGAGAATGTTTTCAACTCAGTCGAAAAGTTGCAACATTGGGAACCGTACCGTGATGAAATGCAAGTGTCAATCCGTTTGTGGTAAGGAAGTCATTGATTCTCTTGCCTTAAATTATGAATGTCACAGGAAATAACATAGTTAACCCCTTAACTGATGATAACATATTGCTAAAATCTGTGTTACGAAAATTGGTACTTAAGTGGCAGTTGGGTGTTCAATTTTTTACCTATGTTGAAGTTCTCATTTTCAAACAGGGTTAGAGGCAGTGTCAGTGTCAATATAACTGTATGTTACAATAACAATAACAATAATAATGAAGTTTCTTCCCCTTTTGGGGGAGGATCAATGAATCTCAAGAAACGAATCACAAAAATGGACAAAAGTTTTGGCTTGTGCCATGGAAGAAAATCTAAATCTACACCTCAAATATGCCTCTACTGCCTTTGTGAACTATATTATCACCTTGAGCCTGAAATCAAATCAACTCCCGCCACTGCAAACATTAACAAGCAATAAATATAAAGGCCATTTGTACCAGAACCAGAAGCTAAGCCTCTAGGATTGTTCCTGGTTTTTCAAATTCAGGCTACAGTAAACTGAGTTTCCCTCCTATAAGAAGTTGAGATGGTTAGCGCAATATTACAAATATCTTTGAAGAATTAAAAGCAATGAGAATTTCGAATGTTTAAATACAATACAATGTGAGTTAGCTAGTTAGCTTACAAATAATACTTAGGATTTACTCTGCTAGTTAGCTTACAAATAATACTTAGGATTTACTCTGTCATTTAAGAATAAATATTAGTCTGTTGCAACTTTACAATGCATTTTCGAGTAATTTGCTTTATTAGGAAGAGAGTAATCTGTGTGATTGGTCCCATTTGTTTTTCTTGTTGTGATCTGATGATGAATGATCATTAGAGTAATGCTTTCATTCTTTGATCGTACCAGATGGAATTGCAGACTACAGCCAACATAAATTATAAACAATGTACAGAGARTTTTCATATGCTTCAGCCATGTGAAATAATCTTTTCAGAAATGGTTTTTGCCAGACAAGTTGCTGCATGAATAGCGATCTACAGCTTCTGCTGTGTCATAGAGAATTGCCCAGCCATTATAATCCATTTTGTAAATTCAAATTATTGTGGTTTAAATATTATTTTGGTCCACGTATTTTTTACTATGATTTGAACCTTTACTTTCAAAATGTTTATTTTGATTCTAATACTTTCAATTTTTGTTATTTTAGTTCTTATACTTYCAAAACACCAATTTTTGGTAATTGTACTTTTAGCAAGTGCAAATTTTGACTTTGGGATGACGAAAATATCTACGGTTACAAATTTTAGTTTTTCCTTTTTATGATGCACATTTTCTTCTTATAATGTTCATTTGAATTTTCAGTATGAAAATATTGATAGACGCTCGACACATACACTGCAGAAATCTTTCCTAAAAAGACAATGTAATAAGACAGATACGGTAATGTCGTCTATGGATCAATTAGTTTTAAAATAATACATACATACCACTGATTGTAAGTGGGTTTCCTAAATTAGTAATACTTAAAAAAACTAATTCTCTTTACTTTACAGTAGAACTTAATTTTAAATCACAATTGCTAATATTAAACAGGCCATAGATGAAATACACTATTTAAAAGTAATTTAAATATACGAAATATAAACTAAGATCCTTTCAATGATTAAAATTTCAAACCAACAGAATCCTACAAAGTAGTCACCATAAAGAGAGCTAAAAGTCCAGCTAATTCGAAATTTCCATCAAAATTCAAACTTTCATACATTATTTATATCCTTCTCAATGCACGAAACCTTTTTAGAGGTGGGCGATGATTGCAAGGGGTGTTCCATATCTTCAAGTAAAACATTCATAAACTTACAACAAAGTTTAAATAATTGTTGTGCTGTGCACCAACAATGCACAGATTGCCAAAGTTGTGCAGAAAAGAAGAGTATCATCCATGTTACCTCTTGTTGCTTGGGGAAGTTTTGGAAGTTTATATGCTACAAAGTATACAGCACCACTGCAGAGGCATTCCATATGGAACTCCCACCCAACGATCTTACTTGAACAGGTCCCTGAGTTCTAAGGAAGTCCCAATATCCTTCGGGTTAAACTAGCTCAAGCAGTTTCCAGTTCCCTATTCAGATAGTCGACAAACATCCTCTTAGCGCTCTCGGCATCAGAAGGTGGCGGTGGTCCGCTTAAACTGGTTTGCCCTGTTAGTTTAATGAAAGTTCTTCGTAGCCTACGAAGCTCCGGTAGGCCAACTGACCTTGAAATATTGATGGCTGGTAACTCCTGACCCAGGGAGATACCATTCAGAGGCCCTCCCATTGCCTGTGCTTGTGCTTCTACTATAGCATTGACCACTTCTTGTGTTGCCTTGTCCAACTCATACAGAGAATTCGCCTCTGAAAACCGAGAATTCTGAGTCGCGATTGTTGGCTGAAGAATTTTTACGTCCCGCGACTTGGAGTCCACTGCTTTTGTCAAGTATGATACAGCATCTAGAATTATAGTAGATGACTTCTCTATTCCATCTTTATGTGGCAATAACTCAAATAAAGGTGAGTCCCATCTATTTCTACTATCTGGCCTCTCGAACCTTCTGACCAGATCTTCAAATATCTTATCATCATAGTTAGCTTCTCCTTTCTCCCGCCGCTCTTCATTCCACTTCCTACAATGGGTTTCTTCCACATCACAATACAGCACACAGTACCTAATTCCTGCTCCCCTCGCCAAACACCATAGCTCATACCTATAACCCTTTATACTGTTCAAAGAGTCCACAATGACAATGTTATCTCTAGATACAGATCTGTCAACTTCAGATCTGAGCACTCCTCTTAAATTCTTTTCAGCCGGCATATTGGCATAGCTCTGATTGCGATCCAGATGAAACGAAGCTTCATCGATGATCCTAATGGCTTGTTTTGCATTTGATTCCTTGAGAGCTTCAGCTAAGCAGAGCGCCGCAGTGGACTTCCCACTGCATGGCTGACCACAGATCACAACCAATGCCATTCTTGGAAAAGTTTGAGCTTGTAGGTAAAATCTCAAAGCAGAGAAATTCTAACTTGTAATAATAAAAGAAATAAATATCAATAACACTACGATGAAGAATAATCTAACTCAAGTAACACAAAATAGACAATAATGTGAAAATCAAGAATGCATTTATCAATGAGAAATAACAAGAATTTTGAGTTTTGAGCAAAAGTCCGCCTGTTCCTCAAAATCAAAATACATAACAGATTATATAATGTGAGCAGCAGGCCATTATTCCTAAACAGTCGCTCTTATCATGACCAAAAAAAAAATGGCAATAGCAGAACTTGATGTCTTCAAACAATGAACCCAACTCCCACCAGCCAGAAAAGCGCAATGGGAAAAAAATCTTCACACAAACCCAAAGCCAGCCACATAAACTAAACATCTCCTTGTCCTCCTAGAATTATGATTGTTGAACACATTCAAAAACTAGCCACTGCGGATTCCATTGCACTTGGGGCTTCTCATGAGAGTTATTGTCCAAATCTTTAATCACTTGTAATTGGAATGTGATTCTGTGATTCCTAATTTATGCTCGCTTTGACGTATACTTGTTTTTTTAAGGAAAAAATTGATAATAATTCCATGAAACAACCAGAACCATTAGAAAGAAACGATCAAAGAATTGACACAAATAAAATATAATTGAGTTCTACAAATTACAAGAAAACTATTTATGAATGCGGCTAAATACAAGTAAATAACAGCACCAAGAAGCAGAGTGGAACTCCATGCATAAAATGAAGAACAAGTTGTATTTAGCAAAACTACGCGTGGCTTTCAATAACAAAGGTCTACGAATGCTTTGTGGCACTGCACCGAGTCGTCTAAAGTGAAATTCACTTGCTATAACAAACTTCAGGTGAAATAACGATAACCCAGAGAGGAAGAAGCTTTAGAGAGCATAAACAAGTAACTCAGACTATCCAGAAAAGCAAAAAATTACGTTCGCTCCTATAAATTCTAAGAACGTCCACTTGAAAATAAATCCTATCTCGTCAGRATGAGAAATAATTACAAATTTCCTAAATCAAATAAGAGAATCCTCTGAGCCAATACAACCAAGCCCTAGCAAGCCTCACAATCAAACAAATGAAAAGAACGAATTCTTAATATTACTTACCTCGGTTGCCTCGGATTTCTCAGCTTGATTGGACCGCGCACGTCTCTCGCAAAGTAACAGCACAGCGCGATCGAAGTTTCTTGTAGAATCTGACAAACAGGGATCCAAAGAAAGAGGAAATAGCGCCAAAACCTCGGAATTGATTGAATGAGTGAACTTACTCGACGATTATGTTTGAAGTTCAAACCCTTTTACCGCGAGATTTCTGGATTTAGGGTTTCGAGTTGCTGCTCCGTTCGTATTAATTGGATTGTCAAATAAATGAATAAAATTAAGTTTAAAAAAATAAAAAAAAGTGAGGGTGGGGGATCAACATCATGCTCGATAAAAGATGTTTAYGAATTGGGTTGGGATAAATTTTTAGACTAAATTCATTCGAGTTTTAAATTTATTAAACTCAATCAGCTCCGAATTCAACTTAACTCAATTATAAAATAGTTTTAGGTTGAAATTATGAGTTATTCGAGTCATTCATTCGAAATATTGTTTTTATGAAATATTGTATAATAAAAAAGGTAAATACTAATATTTTAAATATTTATTTGCATATTTTTAAAAATTGCATCAAGGTTCATAAGCTTATCTTTAATTATATGGTGAAAAAAAAGTACAATATCTTGTTCAGTAATGATGTTCATGGATTGAGTTGAGATAATTTTTTTGACTAAACTCGTTCAAGYGGTAAATTTATTAAACTCAAACAACTCTTATTAAATAAGGGACTCAACTTAACCCAGTTATAAAATAGTTTTGGATTGGAATTGATCTTTTAGTAAGATATGAGTGTCTTAACCATTTGAGCTATGTTCGGTTTGACGATATTTTAAACATTTATTTGCATGTTTTTTTAAATTGAATCAAGGTCCATAAACTTATCTTTAATGTTATTCTAAAAGTTGTTGTATAATAAATAATCCATAAAAAAATCTCTCACGRAAGAAAAACTAAAATGAATATATTTCTACATAATTTTATGGCAACTAAAAGAAATAATTTTAAAATTAATAATAAGTTGTGTGGGTTAGTTTAACTCGTTTTAATTTTTAGGTGAATTCTTAGATGAATAGTCTTTATTTATTTGATCTTTGGGTTGGGTTAGGTTGATCAATTTTTTCGGATCATCTAGATTTTTAACACCTCTAATGCTCAAATTGGCTATCCTAATGACAATATGATTTGATGAGTTTTGTTTATGTTCTCTTAATTTTAATGTGTTGATCAAACGAAATATGGAAGTATTCAACATCAAAATCTTTTCTTTTGTATCTTAAAAGATTTGAATTATCTCTCCATGTACCAAATTTTTAAATATATTTTGGTCCAAAAAATCATTAAAAAGATATACAATGTGAATAAATTCCAAAAATTTATAGAGGGAAGACTGATAGAAACTAATTTTTTTTAGAAAAAGTTAATAATTTTAAGTACATGAATCGAATTTAAACATAGTACAAAGACGAAAATTATATTTTAACAAATATTATAATATTCCTATAAAGTGTTTATTTAATTGAAAAGTGAAACTAGCACGATAGTTGTGAACTAAAAAGAAAAACTACTTCAAAAAGATATATTAAAAAAAAAACTATTTTCTAACTTACTAATGAAAAAGTACTGAGGGCTAAAACAATTAATTAATCTTTACATAATGGTTATTTTTTTAATATATATATTTCTTTTTTGTTTAGAAGACGAATCTAAAACATTTTTTTGAGCCTAGATTGATTTGGCTCATCTTCAAAAGTTAAGTCCAACTAGACGATTCAACATTACCTAAAATACAAGATTCATACGAGATTCATATCCAATCTAATAAATTGTCGGTTTAAGTGTTTTGATGATATTGTTTAGATTGTGAAGAGAAATAATTTCTTAATTAGGAAAATGGTTATTTGATTACTTACATACTTTGATACYCATCAGAATATTGAGTACTAACAGCATTCAATTAATCTCTCTAATGACAAGATAAATCCTAAATCCTTTTTACTTATTTCAAGAGAGAGAATGGAGTGATGATATGAGAATAAGGGTGTGTAGAGAGAATAAAGATTGTGCAAAATGTAGTGAGAGAAATTGTAGAGGAAAAAAAAAGCAACAAAAAAAAAATATGAGTAAGAAAAGGAAAAGATTTCATCACAATTAGATTGGTCTAGTAGYCCAATGGAAAGCAACAAAACTAGATGCCAAATGTTGTAAAGTCAAATTAAAATTGAGCATAACTCATAACTTAACTGGTTATTCTCGCTCCTCGATCAAAAAGTTAGAGGTTTGAATTCTAAAAAAAAAAAATCAAACAACTTAAAACGAACTATTTTACGTTCCCCTAAGATTTACCAAAAAAAAAAAAAAAACTTCACGTTCTTCAAATTCTTCTACCCCAAAACCTTTGAGTTTCTCACATTCTTATAGTTGGGATTGTTGTAATGAGTTGAAATTTGAATCACGTGGAAGAAAGACCAGAAAGCATTTTGGAATCAGAACAATTCGTGATTCATACCTGATACCACAAGCACTTCTTGTTGTGCAGCTGGCTTATTTTCCTTTGTAATCAAGCAACTTGTAAAGCTACAAAATTTAGGAGACTGCACATGCTCTMAAGGTTTCTCTGAGAACGTCCTCGTTCAGATTACGACCTGCATTATATAGAATGTATGGGTTTAAAAACGATTAAATAGTTCCACCRCAAAAATCCATGGGGTATAAGAGTGGATAATTGTATATCATTTACCTATGAAGACTATTTTGTTCATAGGACTTTCTCCATTATTCCATTTGCGAGTAGGAACGATCTCGTATAATTCCCTCACGGCCTGTCACATGCTCAGGGAGCAAGAGCAACCAATGAATCAGCCATTGACATGAAAAAACATGTCTGCTAAATGGAGTGTTTAGGAAAAGGGCAACTGTCATAATGGTATAATAACTACTACGGTCTATATTATGAAGACGTGGTATCTCCTCATAACTTAATAGGTGTAATCTTTAGAGTTCCTCATAACATCACTTCTTTGGAAAAGTCAAGTAGCTCAACCTTTTAATATCGGTTCTGTACCCCAAAGGAATGCATGCATATCAGATTAATACTAGAAGTCGTCGTGTTGAAGCATGATTGACAGGACTGAACTAACGTTTCCAGGACAAAGGTGACATTGAATGATAATTGAATTGATAAAGTTAAGGCTGAGTGACACTAGTTAATTCTTTTACTTTCACCAGGTTATCTTAAGCACAAATCTACCTGCAAAGTATGTAGTTGATCAGAATTCTTTATGCTTAGAACTCCTTTACAACGATAAACATCCATGCCACCCTTTTTATCCCAAAGTATCTCCTCAAGCCAAGAATGAACCTGTTGGAAAATACAGCAAGTGTGAGAATAGCACATACATACGTCTGGAAGATGGGAGATGACTAGCAGATTAATAAGAAATATTAAGAATTTCAAGGAAGTAACTCATAGTACTTTCTTTTTTGAGTTGTATCTACTGCAATAATCATGTTCGTAGTAAAGATGAGTGATTGATATAATCACTCTTAAAATTAGATACTTTGCTGAATTGATCCAGCACGCTGATGGAAAAAATATTAGTAATTCCAAATTTCATTGCTTCAATAGGAAACTTTGGGTCAAACAGAAAATACTAACTAAACGATAATAGGTCCATAATAGGTTAGTCTTGACAAGTTCATACATTATCCTTGATAAATTACATCTTCACCTTTCCTCTTAGTTAGGTACATTCCAGGTCTTGAAATTTTTTAATGCAAAAGAAATTTAAAATACGACGATCCTATAGTTGCATGATGAGGATTCATAAGAATATTCAGCACAAGCAACAACGTAGATGATACACGAAACCAAGCTCAGAGAACTCTGAAACTCAGAACGGAACCACACAGTTTTTAATGGAAATACATGATCTGTCACTAGTGATTAGTTGATCCTTGTGTCTGTTAGTTTATAATAAAGGTCAAATAGTTAACAAAGTTTCAGAAAACTACCTTATCAAGGTCAACTTTATTGTCATCACTAATGCACAAGGTTCGAACACCTGTATCATGAAGATCTCTGGTGGATAGGGAACGGCTTTCTTTCAACAATGCTTCTAAATGACCTGTATTCTAAGTGGGGAAAAGAAACTGAACGGTTTTAGATAAAGAGGACTGACCCAGATATTGAGAATGAACTAGGAGGTAAAAATAAGAAGTTTATGACTGACAGTAGCGTTATAGGCATTGCAGTTTAGTATCAAAGACAAGTCGACTTGACACCGAACAGAGTGAATGATTTTGGCAAGGGAATTAATGTTACGTATTTCGTACTCCAGGTCCTCCAATGCACCACCACCCCCATGTTTGGAAGAGACCAAGTCCACCTTGTTAAGAACAATAGTATCCTACAAGGAATAACAGATTTACAAGTTTCTTACGTCTGCATATAGAACAATTATCAAGAAGACTAGATTGAAAAGAGTAGTAAATAAAACTCCGGGAATAAAATGATAAATTTTGAAGATGACAGCTGAGCAGCATACGACGGCATGTAAGACACGGTTAATATAGAGTGAAAAGCTGCAGAGAACACAAAACTAAGATTATTACCGCAAATGCAATTTGATGAAATGCCTCGGGAAATGATGATGAACTTCGGTGCTCATTTAATTGAAAATTAAGGTTTTTAGCGTCCACAACCTACTGAGCAGGAATTCATCCAAAGGGAAAAAAAATTATATCAGGTGAAAATTTTATACTATAAGAAAGGAATCTTAAAACTATCTTTCTATCTTGAATAAGCAGAAGCATACATCCAAACATGGATAGACAACGCATACACATTGGCCTTAGTACGAGGGGAAAACTTAAGCTTCATTGGCTACCGCAATCTCAATTAAACAGCAAATTTGACGCCTCATAGAGTTTACACTCGAGGAACTATAGCATGCAATTCACAGACACTCGCGATCAATAGCGTGTAATTCACAGGAAACTTGCGAAACTAACTCAAGAAGTGAAGAAAAAAGAACTAAGAACTGACGGTAATAATTGAATCAAGCTTGACCGTCGATTCCAATTGATCATCCAGCCAAAGCACCGAAGCCAGTGGAGCAGGATTTGCTAGCCCCGTAGTTTCCAGCAAAATATGATCGAGCCTAGAAACAAGCGTGAAGAATTCACAATTCACTGATCAACGTATTTTTCACGAAATCTGCGCTGAAATCCAACATAATAATAGAATACCTTTCTTTTCTCTGCACAAGTTGCTCTAGGGCTTGAACCAGGCTATGCTTGACGGTGCAGCAAATGCATCCGTTTGCTAATTCGACCCATTCCTCGACCAAAGCCCCGCCATCACCCTCATTTATCATCGCTCTCTCAACTCCAATTTCTTCACCAAACTCGTTCAGTATAACAGCAATTCTCTTGCCATGTTGCGAGTTCAGTATATAATTAACCAGCTAAATACCACAGTACCACCAAAAAGAAACAAAAATCATCATTCTCTAATTCAAATTCAAGTGAAGAGTGAGGGGGGGACAGGTTCATAGAGTAATTTACAGTGGATTTTCCGGCTCCAAGATATCCGGTGATAACGGTAACGCCGACAGAAACGCCTTCATCTTCATGTGGCCCGGCAGCAGTAATAGTTTCGCCGATTTCAACCGCAAGCGGAGGATCTTCTTCGTCTTCCATTTCTGAACTCGTAGTTGCGAATTTGGATTTAGGAATTTCGATTCAACAGAGTTGAGACATTGGCTTCGCGACTGAACTTTCTTAATCGGCCCAGTTTACTTACAAAACGGCGGGAACCCTTGGGCTATCAATTCAGGTCCACTCTCTGGGGAATTTTTTTTAATTTTTATTATTATTTTTTTTTTAAATACTTTCAACCGATATCGAATTTTTGTTAGTACAATATATAAGGTGGGAGTTCGAGCATGCAACCTCCTAATCAACAATGATACATGTCTGTTGAGCTAAGCTGAAATTGATAGGGGTTGAACTATTGACCCATATTTGAGAGTATTTTTGATCCAGC